AGGAACATTGAAAATATGAGCTGATTGGTGAGGTGACTGCAGCCTCAGCTATTTGGCCAGCAAAGTCATAATTGTTACAGTAGGCCAGCTATTACATGAACAAGGGAGCTACTGTGCCGCAACATAGAGCGAGGGAGAGTATATAAGCTAGCGAAAAAACTTCAATAAAGACACTGTCTCAGACGCGGTGTGTGCACTATGGCTGAGGTGGGTGTGGGAGGTCTGCTAGAGGCTCTCAGTCGCCCAGCTCCAGTGGTGCAGCTGGAGGTGACGGTGGACACGGCACTTAAAGGCTTGCGGGCCCTCCAGGTGTGGGGGTCTCAGCAGTATGCTTTGGGGCAGAGCATTCCATGTCTGCACAGCGCTGGCAGGAAATGCGCGAAGACAGCTGTTTCGGGTGCGTGCTGGCAGGTTAGTCGATAGCTGGTGTGGGTGCGTAGGCTGAGCAGACACGCGGGTGGGCTGTATGTCCTGAGGTCGACGTTGGGCACCAGGGGGGAGGATCTTCTTTAGCGGGCTGTCCGCATCTAGGCAGAATAGCTTGTACAAGTATGCAAGCGTGTGTGCCTAGTTGTTGCACTTTCGATTGATATTGCACACACATTGTGATACAAAATTATGCAGAACTTCCACTTGAAGCAGATGGAGGTTTGTCTTGCACTAGCATTAACATCAGACATAATGGTGGCGTCTATAGACAACTGGAAAGCAGGCCAGGTCGGATCACATTGAGCTGGGTCATAACGGGCTGCCACACATCGGTTTAAATCTCCCCGGTTTAAATTTCTCCGGTTTAAATCTCTCCGGTTTGAATCACGTTGGTTGAATCACGATGGGATCACCAATGACTATGTAGTGGGTCGTTATGGACGCCCCCGTTACCACATCCGTGCACACGAGCACCAACGAAACACAAAATAGTGTGTCATTGCCTTCTCCTCCTGGCCCCCCACCACACGACAATGCAAACGACTTGATAGTATTTCTGACTTCCAACAATCAACAAACGGCAAGGGCGCAGGAGGAGAAAGGCGAAATACAAGTCTCAACAAAAAGACGAGGGAAAAAAACACGAAGGAACAACAAAGAACAAGCAGCAATAAATGCGCGGACGAATCGTGAAGACTAATCAGGGACCAATACGTACAGAACACATGACCAAGACAACCAGACCACGGACGAATCACTCTCACTCCCAGATGCAGACCAAACTAGCACTACAGGTACGCATATGCACGATACTCACTAAGTGAGTATCAATTCTTTGTGCCATCTTTGGGTCCGTCAAATACAGTAGTAGTAGGTTTTTCATTTTGACCCGACGAGACCATACGACGCTTGCAGATCACAGCACGAACAGTTCACCAGCCACACTCCACGAAAGCAATATCTTTCCTATAAAATAGCATTATTCAGCTAAACCCCTTCATTCAACAACTGCTTCTCCTCTGATGAGTTCCCCGTTATTATCTCTATGGAACGAAACAAGACTTGTCAGGAGTACTACTACTTGCTTTCGTGGAGTGTGGCTGGTGAACTGTTCGTGCTGTGATCTGCAAGCGTCGTATGGTCTCGTCGGGTCAAAATGAAAAACCTACTACCAAGTGAGTATCGTGCATATGCGTAGTCTTGACGATCACTCGCAAAAAGCGGAAGCAGATTCTCGCACTCTTTGACAACGCGTACTCTTATCTTGCATGCACCACACACCATGGACGTCACACATCACACCATACTCACCTGTACAATGTACGCTACAACACACTTTGTAGACCGGCAACAGTAAAAGTGTTATTGTGCTTCACCACTTCGAGGTTGCTATCACAAAAAGGTGCTTCAGCAAGAGGAGTGGCAGTACAGCGTTGGCACTGCACAAATGGCAACCATTTTATATTTATTTTGCATTGCTTACAGAGGTGCCATCAGCCACCTCCGACATCGTGATCATGCTTCCAGAACCATGTGTGGCATGTATCTTCTACATACAGATAAACCTGCCTTAACCGGACGCCCGTGGTGCAGCGGAAACTGTTCTGATATGACATGATTCCGCTTGACCCAGGGATGCACGTTCGATCCACAGCCCTTTGGTGCAGGAACATTTCCGGGTCAATATGGGATTCTGCTTATTATGACATCAGACGCCGGACTCTACAAGAAGCCTGTTACTAAGAAAAGCTCACTAAAGGGAACGCACACTCACACAGTGACACATTCCACATTCGTGCACAACGGAAAGCGATTCGAAGAAACAATAACCTTGAACTTTCTACATGAACTCCGAAAAGCAACTCTTCACTCCAACTAGTCTAAAACGCTACTAAAGTAAAAGTCCAACAACCAGGAACTAAACAAAAGCAGTGCAGCACAGCGCGGTGCAAGCTCCGGTGCATGCATCCGGGAACTCGCGAGACAGAAACATGCACGTGACCGCTCAGGTCTACAGTCAATGCTACCATGAATACAAGCATACTAGAAGCAGATGCGTAGCAGTACAGCACAATCATGCATGTGACATAGTCGTTGGTTCAGACCTCGGGATCTTCTGAACAAAGCCATATGCACTCTACTAGTACGACACATGAGAACATACACATTGAGAACATCACACACGTACGTGCCGACACACCAATACAACTCACCCACCATCCTCCTGTCCCTTCACAGTTTCAACCGAATGCCCCCCCCTGACCTGCGTGAAACAAAAATAGCAAGCATGCGTTTCAATGGCATCTAGCCTCATTCTATCATCCGTATGCTCATGTAGTAGCTCACACTGTACCCCATCCCTCTGCAATGTGTTTGCTTCCTTACTTGCTAGACTGATTTTATATATTATGATTCTGGACTGATTTGAATCACAACTACTAGTATCTTCCTTATTGGCCATGGGCCATCGTGGAAATGAAGAAAAATAATAAAAGACAAGAACCAAGTACAACAAAGTGCGCAAATAATACTCTCCGAATTTCACAACACTGATGTTGTCCTCAGGTTTACAAAAAAAGGTATGATTAGACTAAGTGAAGAGCAGTACCGGTAGAAGGAAAAATTATTGTTTTGCCAACAATCTAAGTGCCAAGTGAAAGAACGAAGACAAAGGACAAGAGAGACGAAGAAAAACGCAACACGAAAAGAGAAATGCAGGACAAGGCCGGCGAAAGGAGAAACAAAAGTAAATACAAGAGACCAAGGAGACATGACTCCCTGATACAGAATGCTTGACTATACTGTGCAGGAGATTTGTTCATACTGAATGTGATAATTTAATGGAAATGGGAGCACTTCGAGTTCAATCACTGGCCCCTGCACTCGTTGGAGTCTTGAGATTGGCTGAGACGACCAGTCGCAGTCTCAGACTCCTACTGCCATGCCTGTCCAACATACAGCACACTCCACACGCCACAGTCATACCGTAATCAAAATCTTCAACTCACACTCACAGTTTCGACGCTGGCACCGCTGTACAGCTCAGCTGCAAAGCATAGTCTTCCCGCTGGCACGCGAATGGCGTCTGCCTGGCCAGATCTGGCATGATGTGCTCTCAAGGTGTGCACATCACAGTCCAGATGAAAGACAATGATATCATCATCTTGCCACGGCTGACCCAGTTTGCCAGAATCTCCAACGCAATAGTCACTGTTTCCATCACAACCGTCATCACACCAGCCAAGGAAAGGCTTCTCTGGTGAGCAAAACTCAAGTTCATGACACGATTCCCTCCTAACTCCAACAGCAAGATATCCTCTCCCGGGTCGGACGCGGAAAACACAGATCACCTCACCATGACAATAGCTACCTAGAGTGGAGAATGCGGCCCATCCTTTACCGGTATTAGACACTTCATGCCCATCATCCGATAACGAGAAATCGCCCGCAGCCAAAGTAAACTGGTCAAAAGTGGGTTGTGTAATGATCCGTTTCGTTTCCGCGCTGGCTTCAACAAATCCGTCGATCAAGAACTTCCCAAGACTTGGGACATGGCAGCTTTCGTCTTCCGCAAACGTATCGTATGACACACTAAAATCGACTTGTGGAAGATCACAGAGGCTAGCATCCGTACAGTAATCGACAACATCATCGACCTGTGCGTCCAGGATCTTCACTGCCGTCAGGAGATTAGCATCGTCAAGGTACCGCACTAGATGCTCACAGCTTTCCAGTTGATACACTTTCTGCTTCACAATCTCCGACTGCCTCTCCAAGTCTTTCAGTGCACTCCAGCGTGAAGTGTCCAGTTCGTTCAGAAGATCATCTTGTCTCTGCCGAAGTTTCTTGATGAACTTCTCGAAATCAGCTGATATCTGCGCAGATAGTTCTTCCACTTTGTCATTGATCTGCGCTGTGCGAGATGCAATGGAGTTGCTATCATCATCCAGTTGCTTTCTCCCAGCGCACTCGCGTAG